TCGACTGTTGAGTGTACCCTGCGCTCTTTGCAGACACTGGAAGTGAAATTGCTTCATTGAAGGACCACTACACTATTGGAGTAAATTAATTGCTTGTTCCCATCAGCGTGTCACACTTTTGTCCCAGACTTTTTCAGTGTCACTTGTTCTGCCTCCTTCCAACCCAGTGTAAATCAACAAGCCTTAATCCCCCTTAACTCTCTCCCCCACGCACACTTTGCTGGGAAGGTTAAATGCTTTCTGGGAAACCATTCCTGGAAGAATCTTCTACTTACTGGGCAGAGACTCCAAAACTAAAAAGTCACAATCAACATTCATTCTGTCGGTGGGTTGTTATGCTGGTGGAGAAGCTCACTGATCAGTGAATGCAACTGTGGCTGAAAAAAAACTTGGCCAGCAGAAGAAATCCACCTTTTACTTTTCCCCATTGAGAAACTGCCCATTTATTTCTACTCCTTGTCTGGTTAGTAATGTCTAAGAGGACAGATCCCATAACCCATTCTGCTAGGTATACCTGAGATTCTTTCATGAGGATTAAAAAAAAAATAGGCATACAATGACACTTTTTGTGTGTGGCATTTCTATCAGTACTAATGACAATATATGTGCTGTGTTTCCACAAAATAAGACACAGTCTTATTTTTTTTGCTCCAAAAGATGCATTAGGGCTTATTTTTGGGGAAACATGATATCAGGGTGATCAGACCAGTGTGCGCACAAGAAGTAGCAAGCGTGCAGGGGCCAACAGTGTCCAGGAGCTGCTGCAGCCTGCCAACCCATTGTCCAATGCTTTCTGGTCTCTGGGGCTGCCCACCAGATGTGCCACATGGCAAGGAGAGACAGTGAGATAGAGTGGGGGGAGTAGCCACAGAAGGCTTATCCTGCGTGTGTAGCAGAACTTGAAGACATTGGACGGCCAAGGCCAAGTACACTGGAGCCACGGCATACTGCTACCCCTGCCCCACCATTTGCCTCTTCTGATCCAGTCGGTGGTAGTGTTGCACAACCTCATCAACAACAAGATTGCCAACAGAGATGCCAAGAAGGAGAGACAGGAAAAGGAGTAAGGAGGAGAGAAAAGATGACAAGGAAAAGGAGAAGGAAAAAAGCAAGGCCAAAAAAGAAGAGAAGGAGAAGTAGTACTATTAGTAGTATTTCTATTTGTGTAAATTAAAAGCATTCAGTTGCACCCGGCTGCTCTGGCTGAAGGTTCTTCCCTGTGGGTGATTTGGGAGGGACCAAGAGCCAGATGAGTTCATGGCTGCCTGAAATGTGCTTGCACCTGCTGCTGGACACAGAGTGGGCTGCCCCATGCCTCTGCTTATGCCTGGTGCTGTTGCCACCACAAGGTGAGGCAGAGATGGTGCCATGCCACAGCCTCTGCATGCTTGGCCCCTCCTTAAAGTTAGATAAGAGTCAATGGTATTCAGGGGAGTTTGGCGGGGGCAGAGCGTGCGGGGGCCGCAGCATAGCACTATCCCCACCTCACTCTGTCTTGCAGCCGCCGCCCCCCAAGGCTGACAATCTTAATGGGTTTATTTGGGGGGTTAGCTTATATTAGGGGCATTCTTAAAAAACAAAAACATGCTAAGGCTTATTTTCTGGTTGAGTCTTATTTTCGAGGAAACTCGATCAACACTGAGTCAACTACTCAGATAAGCAGAGCATTAAAATAATCACACTATGAAAACAGCAAGATTCAGTCTCACATACCACAGTTAGATTGGAATTATCTAGCATTCTGGCTCACTACTTGGAAGAAAAGCCAGGTCTTCATAGTCTGGAGGGCCAGGAAGGTGACAGCTTTCTGGATCCCTGGGGAAATGATGACACAGGGCAGGCACCATGGCAGACAAGACACCATAGTTTTTTCCTTTTTTTCAGACAGTGGCTGATAGAATCAATACCAAAATCCAATTATCTCTTCCTCCCTCTCCACATGTTATTGCGTATCCTCTGTAAGAGGGAAACCACACAGAAGCTGCTACCTTTTAGTCTACATTTATTTTAAAAATAATTTTTATTAAAAGATTTTACATAGTCAATGAAAAATACATTCAAAGAAAGGAAAATGTTTAAAAATAAATGTAAAAAAGAAAACAAACAAAAATATAAAGACCAAAGAGAATAGAAAAAAATAGAAAAAGAAACAGAAAACACACGCACATCTTTAATAGTAAGTAGTGACTTCATTAATTGCACAAAAAATAAGTATACCACATAATTTTCATGATATTTTCATTTATACTAGCAACAGTGATAGAAGTTTAAAAAGTTTATAATATTGGACTGTTTAATTGGAAAGAAACAAAAAAGAAAACTGATACAACTTAAAGCCATATTTAAATGGGAAATATTAGCTCGATTATCCTTGCCTAATTCCTGAAATTGAGGTTTCGTTTTGAGAACAGCCACTTTCATTCACCAATCAAAATGGAGGAGGGGTGGAAAGAGTGTTTCTTTTAAGCTGTTTTTTTTTCTTTCCAAATAGCATATAACTTTTGAAGCTCTGGTCCATCCAGGGCAGCTGGACTGATATAATCATCACAGCCCATTTCTTTCCCTTCTAGCCTCCTGGTGCTGGTAAATCACTCCCACTGCAGCCTCCCTGTCTCTCATAATGTAACCCCCTTTGCAGAAAAGATTCAGATCAGACAGTCAATGCCTGGCATAGAAGTCTCTCTGAAAGGCAAGCAAGCAAGAAAACCTCTGCTTCATCCTGGTCTTTTGTTTGCATTCATCATGTATTGACATCAAATTGGTGAGCTTGCAGGAAAAGGACTTACTGGTGCTTTTTGATGACTCCACTCTCAGAAATATACTGCTATGCAACACTGCTATAAACCAAAAAATTGAGTGCTTATCAAATATAATCTTTTAATTGTGTCTGATTACTTAGAAAATGGACTCCAGAGGATGATAGAGGGCAAGAAGGCCTGGAGGAATGTTGTCCATGGGGTCATGATGGGTCGGATACATCTTTGTGACTCACAACATGATTACGTAGAACATAAATGTTAAAGGAGACCAAAAGTACAGAACTGCTCAAAATACAGCCTTTGAAAAAAAATCCCATAGAAACCTATAACAAGATATTTAACATAATGTTGGGATGTCCCTAATTTAGAGCTATAGTTCTTTGCTATGAGCCTCCCAACTGCAACAAAATACATACCAAGCATATATTGATAACAGATCTAAGATAATAACTGGAAATAGTAAAGATCTCAACACACATACACACGTGTGCGTGCACACACACAGGACTAAATCAAAGGTCTAATCATAGTTTTCTTGCTAAATATGTTACCTATAGCAAAGAGACAAAGGATCATTCAAACAAATTCTTATCCTGGATTTTTCCAGATTCTGAAGGATGAAAATCCCTCCGAGGCTGAAAACAATATTACCTAGGTTCCTCTTCCTGTTCTAGTATCTAGCTTCTCTTTTGGACTTGAGAAAGCTAAAGTCTTGTCCTCTGTAGAAAAGAAAAGGCTGGAGGAATCTCCTTGGGCCGTATGGTCAGGTTCATGCCTCAGGGAAGATCCTGCTGGAGACAGAACTTTGTTTATTCCCTGTCCAGGAAGTAGCTGTCAGTATTGTGAACCACTGGGTGGCATGAGCAAAAGCAGCTTCCAAATATTTCATAGATTTAATAGCCATAAGAATCTTTCTATTGTTTTTGGATTACTTTTCTCACTCTATTTTGCAGCACACTTCTAGCCCAGAAATAATTGTACAGCATATTTGATATTTTCCCCTGGACTTTCAATAGTATTCAGGATTGGGATTATGAAGACCATTTCGGAACCTTCTTCCCTATGATATTGCTTGGTTATATTTCAGGTCATTGTCTGAAATAACCAATTGCTTCTCAGTTTCCACCTCTTCATTAACTGAGATAGTCTCTCCCAGGAGAAAAGAACTTTGTTGATCTTTGGTTTAATCCAAGTGGCTTGCCCCATCAGTGTTCTTGGTAGTTCCTTGACTGAGGTAATGTTTTGATTGCTGGTTAGTATTAATCCTGGTGTTAATCTTATCTATATATTGATTGCGGATGGAGATGTTCTGGTCTTTTCCTTTTAGGTTTTGTCTCTTTTATGTTGGTTTTTGTTTACTTAAGGATTCAGGAGTGCCTAAACATTTATATGCACCTGTATATATCTATGTGTACCTTTGTGTATGTAAATATGAGTGCCTATATTTACATGTAAGTGTATATATACTACTGTATATATTTTTTTGAAAAAGTATGTTCCTTGCCAAAACCAGATTCTGGTTATTGTTGGGTACTCCCCTTCCTATAACTGTTAACACTGTTGCAAGGCCAAACTGGCAGCCTGCGGGGGTGGGAATCAAGCCAGCTGCCTTTAAAAACGGAGAGGGAAATAATCAGATCCAGAAAACAAGCCTTTTCCTGATAACTAGTGGATCTCTAGACTTTTGCATTCCAAATAAGATAGCAATTAGCAAAGCAGTCTTCGGTACAATGTGGGAACTCTCCTGCTCTAAAGATAGATAAAAACCATATTTTACAAAGTTTTAGAAAGTGAACGCATGGGGTTTTTTTTTAAATCACTTTCTGGGCTATGCTGACAGTCCTTGTTTCCGAAGGACTAATCATATCTTTTAACCCACACCTGCAAAAGAACATTTTTGCGCGCGTCTTGAGCTCCTTCCTGCTAAGGGTGATTTACAAGGTCCTCCAGCATCCTAGAGCCGTGCTGAAGTGCTGTAAAAGCCGGCCTGTCCTCCTTAACCGTCCTGTTATCTCGGCCAGGAAGCCGCGGGATTCCTCCCCACCTCCCGAGTCCCACCGCCTCTCTCCCGTCAACCCTTTTCTTTTCCTTTGCCAAATCAGACTCTCCGGCTCCAAGCAATTGTCGGGGGTGGCGACCGGCCGCTTCCGATAAAGCCATTGGCTCCTCCAGGAGAAGGCCAGGAGGTCTCCCATTTGAAACCCGCGAGCGCCCGGCTGCAAGGCCTCTAAGTGAGCAGGGATGAGTCCGGCCGCTTTCCAACTCTGGAGGGATTATTTCCAGCTGGCCAAGTTGGTGGAAGAGATGAACCGATACGGCCCCTCCGAAGAAGAGTCCGGACCGCAGGCGGCGGAATTGTCGCCGGAGCGGCAGCAGGAGCGCCAACTTTTCCCGCGGCGGCAGCAGCAGCAGCAACAGCAACAGCAACAGCGGCAGCGGCAACAGCTCGTGGACGAGTCTCCCTCGGCCGCGCGTGGGCGGGATGAATTCAGCTGTTCTTTCTGCAAGCAGAACGGGGAATCGCGCTCCATCTACAGCTCGCATCGGCTGAAGGACGAGGCCGGCCGCGTGCAGTGCCCCATTCTGAGAAAATACAAGTGTCCTCAGTGCGGAGCTTCGGAGGACTTTGCACACACGAGGCGGTTTTGCCCTTTAACCAAGGAGGGTTACATATCTGTCTACACGAGCTTCATCAGGAACTCTGCTGGGAAGAGGAAAAAAAAGGCAAGTCGTCGAAAACGCGAGCCGTCCTTGTTTCTCCCTCAATATATACTTGATATTACTTTTACAAAAAACCCACCCTTTTCCCCTATCCCAGATTTGAAAGCAACCGAAATGGATCGGCAGCGGTTCCTAATCTGTGAGTACCAGCGACTGCTTGTCACTACCCAAAGGATCTAGATAAGGGTCGATATTTTTTTTCTTCCTTCGATATAGCAGTGGCAACCCTTAAATGTTGCTTTAGGCGTTCAGTGGGGCTAGGCATGTCTTCCTTTCTTAAATCTAAATCGAAGGAGGACCGGGAATAATAAATACCCTTTGCCCATTTTACCTCTGGGTGGCATTTTTAATCTCGTCTCTCCATTCTCAACGTTGCACAGGAACGGGCTGACTCCGGTTTACCGAAAACTTTGTTTAAACTTTCAAAGTAATCCCTGACTGGTGCAAAAACCCAAACCTTGTGCTGTACAGGCCATGACTTTTAGACTGGGTTGCCCATTTTACAGAGTCCCCTCCGATTGCCGGTGGTTACCCAAAAGATGATGCTGGGTTATAGTGAAACGATTTACTGTGGCTTAGTTAACAAATTGGATCTGAGTGAAGTTTTTGTGGGAATCCCGATACACGAGAACAACAGGCCCAGCAATAAGAGGCAAACGAGAATTCCTGAGTGGGGCAAAACGTGTTTTTAGGGGGAGATGGGAGAGGATCTGAGACCCAGTTAGCAACATGTTGAAATTTTTTGATTATATCCCAATTCTATGCTGACCCTGCTTTTTATCCAGTAAAGGAGCCTGTAATTCTTATTCTGATCTGCATATTAAAAAGTACTAAGAATTTAATTGCTTGAAGTTTTAAAAATGTTTCTTTGGGAAACAGGCCTACAAACACACACACACACACACACACACACACACACAGACAGAGAGAGAGAGAGAGAGAGAGAGAGAGAGAGAGAGTCTTCTGGTAACATATATTACATATATGAGACTAAGCCCTAAGAGACACATTATAGGATGGTAATATCTATATTGAGGGAAATTCTACTTATTCCAGTAGGATCAAGGAGGTGATGTGATATAATGTGGTATAATGTTTCTAAATGCGAAATATAAATAAATAACGGTGGAAGGAAAAGGCATGGTGACTAAAAAGTCAGGCAGAGTTAAGAGATACAATAGTTTCAGTTTCCACTCCTCAAAAAGATTCTGGTAACACTTTGTACTGCTGCTTATTTCATCAGATGCATGGAGTAGTTTAATTGATGTGTAGGATATAAACACATTGGGGAAAGGTGAGGGGAAAATGGAAATGAAGACAGGGTAGTTATGCAAATGAAGGTAATGTGAAAAAGATCATACATACCTTATATCAGTTAATCACTGCAAGGGGTTCAAGCCTTCTGAGATGGTTAACTGTCATCAAGAATTTGTAGGCTTCTCATTGCTCCATTGTGATAGAAAAGCCACTGTTCCAGAACTATTATCTAGAGAGCTATATTGGAATATCCTGGAAGGTCAAATGTTTTGTTATTACTTTGTCTTTGATTGTAGTCCTGGTGTCAGATTTGTGTCCCTTTTTGTGTAGAACCCAGAATAGTATTGCTGGCAAATCATATTAGAAAAAAGATGCTGTTTGGACCCATGTTGGTGTCAGTGTCATAGGGACAAGATATCTGGATGTGTTGCTATAGGATTCTCTTGGTGGTATCATTGCCTGTTATTTCTTATTGTGAGAATTTTTTCTTCAGGTTATCTGTGTATAAGTATGGATATCATGACTAGTGTCTTGAGTGTCTTGAGCCATGAGCTGGAGATGTTCAATGGCAGATAAATTTTAAAGTAAAAGCTGTAAGAAAACATACAATAAAGAAAAATAGTGATAAAAGAAAAATTATGAATTGACTTCTGGTTTCCTTGCGACAGCAAATTGTTTTACCCTAACATTACATCCTACTTTCCTTCTTTTCATAAACTACTCTTTCTAATCTTCATCTTCAAACTCATAAATCCCAAGTTTTTATTTTTCCAAGCAAAAAGGTGTTAAAGATTTCCAATCACAAATAAATTTATTTGTTGATCATTCACTAATTAAGTTAATTTTGCCATTTCTGCTAGTTCTGTCATTTTAACCAACCATTCCTCTGTTTTTAGTATTTTAGAGGCTTCATTTTTTTGCATATTGGAGTACTTATGTTTAAAAATAATCTTTCATATGTTGGAAGAAATGTCCATCTGGGTTCAGTTCCAAGTGGGAAGACACTGGAAACATGGCAACTGTTTGGAAAGATGGTTTTCATGGTCGATAGGACCACATGCCTTGAAGCTCCTGAGTGAACCGAGAGTCCCTGGGTTTTATGCCCTCTGTTGGGTTGAATTTGAACTTGTATCCTGATTGGTTATCAGACTCCCACAGGGCCATGCAGGGGCAACACTGTAGGCTGTCCTGAGTCCCAGGCTTGGAGCCTTGCTGGATGATGATGTAATGAAAGGGTTTTGGGCAATTTCTATTATGGGTCTACCTGAAGGAGGTAGATCTTTGTTATTTAGAATAGACTGGCCCAGGCCTTAATGGCCCATTGACAAAGGTGGGAGGGCTGAGGTTCTACCTCTCTGAATTTCGACTTCTCTTTTAGGGGAAATATTCTGATTTTTTTAGTATATCCTAAAATATTTCATTTTTCTAGGAGAGGGGTGAGTTATAACTTCCAACACATGGCTCTCTTTTAATTGACCATTAATCCCAACACAAAAAATTATGGTTTTAGTTGAATGATTTTTAAAAAGCTATCATTGTATATTTTGATGCAATTTTTTCTGGCATTTTTTGTACATTCTTAACAATTTATCTGAAGCAGTATACTAATGGAACATCCTTTTATTTAAAAAAAATCACATGAGCCATATTTTTATGGTTGCTAAGCTGATGGAAGCTATTGGACTAGGCTCAAATTTATACTTGGTTCAATTCAGGATCAATGAATGAATCAGTGAACCCAGTCACTATCTCCCAGTTTAATTATTTTGCAAAATTATTGTGTAAGATACACTGGGAGATAAATTACTTACACTGCTCACAAAAATAAAGGGAACACAAAAATAAGACATCCTAGATCTGAATGAATGAAATATTCTTACGAAATACTTTGTTCATTACATGGTTGAATGTGCTGACAACAAAATCACACAAAAATTATCAATGGAAATCAAATTTAGCAACCCATGGAGGTTACACTCAAAACACTCAACCCAAGACTTACACTCAAAATTAAAGTGCAAAAAAACACTACAGGCTGATCCAACTTTGATGTAATGTTCTTAAAACACATCAAAATGAGGCTCAGTAGTGTGTGTGGCCTCCACATGCCTGTATGACCTCCCTACAATGCCTGGGCATGCTCCTGATGAGGTGGCGGATGGTCTCCTGAGGGATTTCCTCCCACACCTGGACTAAAGCATCCCTCACCTCCTGGACAGTCTGTGGTGCAACGTGGCATTGGTGGATGGAGCGAGACATGATGTCTCAGATGTGCTCAATTGGATTCAGGTCTGGGGAACAGGTGGGCCAGTCCATAGCATCAATGCCTTCGTCTTGCAGGAACTACTGACACACTCCAGCCACATGAGGTCTAGCATTGTCATGCATTAGAAGGAACCCAGGGCCAACCACACCAGCATATGGTCTCACAAGGGGTCTGAGGATCTCATCTCGGTACCTAATGGTAGTCAGGCTACCTCTGGCGAGCACATGGAGGGCTGTGCGGCCCCCTAAAGAAATGCCACCCCACACCATTACTGACCCACTGCCAAATCGGTCATGCTGGAGGATGTTGCAGGCAGCAGAACGTTCTCCACGGTGTCTCCAGACCTTATCACGTTTGTCACATGTGTTCAGTGTGAACCTGCTTTCATCTGTGAAGAGCACAGGGCACCAGTGGCGAATTTGTCAATCTTGGTGTTCTCTGGCAAATGCCAAACGTCCTGCATGGTGTTGGGCTGTAAGCACAACCCCCACCTGTGGACGTCGGGCCCTCATACCACCCTCATGGAGTCTGCTTCTGACCGTTTGAGCAGCCACATGCACATTTGTGGCCCGCTGGAGGTCATTTTGCAGGGCTCTGGCAGTGCTCCTCCTGTTCCTTCTTGCACAAAGGCGGAGGTAGCGGTCCTGATGCTGGGTTGTTGCCCTCCTACGGCCTCCTCCACGTCTCCTGATGTACTGGCCTGTTTCCTGGTAGCGCCTCCATGCTCTGGACACTACACTGACAGACACAGCAAACCTTCTTGCCACAGCTCGCATTGATGTGCCATCCTGGATGAGCTGCATTACCTGAGCAGCTTGTATGGGTTGTATGGGTTCTCCGTCTCATGCTACCACTAGAGTGAAAGCACCGCCAGCATTCAAAAGTGACCAAACCATCAGCCAGAAAGCATAGGGACTGAGAAGTGGTCTGTGGTCACCACCTGCAGAACCACTCCTTTATTGGGGATGTCTTGCTAACTGCCTATGCTTTCCACCTGTTGTCTGTTCCAACAGCATGTGAAATTGATTGTCAATCAGTGTTGCTACCTAAGCGGACAGTTTGATTTCACAGAAGTGTGATTGACATGGAGTTACATTGTGTTGTTTAAGTGTTCCCTTTATTTTTTTGAGCAGTGTATACTGTCCAAATAAGCCACTTTGAAAAGGTAGCATTTTTAATGATCTCTAGATGGCAAAACCAACTTGTCTAGTAAAATTTATTTTATTATTCAAATAAATATTTGAAGATCTGCTCTTTTGCTTTGTGACTCTTTTTGGCAAAAGTCTGCAACCAATAGTGTGATTGTTAGAAAGGGTTAGGAGGCAAGAAACTGATGGAAAAGGGCTTCTGTGTATAATTTGGATGCTTGTTTACTTAATGAGAGAGATTCTGAAACAGAGAAATGTACACTGATCTAATTAGGTTCCTTCTAGGCAGAGTGGGTTTTCGGTGCTCTGGGGTGAAAAAGGTGAATATATATTAAAACAATCCTTGGGGTGTTCAATTGTAATTTTAAGGCTGGGAATTGATAGACTTAGAGCCCCCTCATCTTTGCTACACAATTAAACAGGAAATTACTTTTTCATGGTACTAGATTTATCATTGTTGTTTATGACTGTTGATCTTGTTTTGTGGAAGAACCCCATGCCATTTTCTCAAAATCATAATACAGGGCCCATTTTTCATCATACATATTTCTTTGGGTTGCCTCCAAACATGGCATTCAGTCATGAGTCACAACCGGTAATGTATAATCCACAAACCTCATTTGCTCTTTTAGAAGATTGGGCTTAAATTATTCATTAAATTTATATGTTGTCCATCTCACTATCCAAAGTAACACTGTTAAGAGTTAAATCTGCCCATGTTAACAAACATTAATTATGCTTTCTTCTGGGTGAGGAAAATGTTATTGGAATTAGTGATATATATATATATATTGTTTCTTTCAGGTGTCATAATAGCACTTTTCTGAAGAATGGAGAGACTGTAGGACTAATCATTCACGTGGAGTCACTGGTGCTCAGAAATCAATTTATAAACAACTTAAAAAGTAATGCAGAAAGGACTAGGTAACAAATCTGATATAAGCAATACGCCCAACACTAGCACATCTGATATCAAGAAATCTGTTTTTCCTCCACCTGTGTTCATATTTTGTTACAACTGTTTGAGTTGCAAGATAATTTTATGATATCCTCAGTCTTCTCTTCTGCATTCAACTAACATGAATGCTATTTGTTTACTTGTTCGTTTACGGTTCCTCATGTATATTATTTATGAGTTTGTAATTGTTTAAAGTATACTTGTTTTACAAGTTATTTTTGTGAACCAATTGTTTGGTTTTAAATTTGTACAGTTATTGTTATTGTTTTTGTATGAATACAGAATATTTTTCTTTAACTCTGGAGTAAAACTCTGGAGTAAAAAAGTAGGTATGACGATGGAATTTAAAAAATACATAAATCCACAAAAAAATTGTGTAGAAAACAAGAAATTATGCAAAATAAAATGGAGCATCACAATTGTTTCAGTAGGAGACATCTAGATGCTCATCTTTGGCCTTGTAATCAGTATTATTTAAAAATGTCCAATTTCGTTTGATGTGTGCTAAAATAAAGGATTCAGATTTCCCTACAGCCACCAACAAAGTGAATATATCTTGCCCTCCACAATTTTGTACTATTTAGATTCCTAATAATCTACCTGATGATATGGAATTATGGCAATTATAAAGCTAATATATTTGTATGGAATCACACTGCACAAAGCTTTTCTAACTTATCAATAAACTATTAAATAGTTAAACCAAAATGTTGTACATAATGTCTGTAGTATTTTGTGGTGTGACTGAGGCTTTTTTACTTCTATTTAAAAAGCAACAGCTATGCTATGCTTTTGCATAAAGAAATCATGGGAGAGAGTTAACATCCCAACAATGCTGCATCTTAAGAGATGGGAAAGTAGTGGGAAAGTTTTGTTATTTCAGGACATTAGCTTTATTTCTTCTCAGAGTTGAGATAACCAGATAGATGCTAAAACAAAGATAAAATTTACTTAACAAAGTTAAAATTAACTATTTTATTGAAATGAAAAATAAGTGATGGTTTGAAAATAAACACCATGCCTCCTGATAGGCTGACATAGCTAAGGAACTGCCAAAGAGTAGAGCAAACATTCTTATAAATATTGAGGGAATAACAGAATCTATTTGTTATAATTCTCTCTTCTTTTTCATGCCGTGAGATAGGAGCCTCCCGTGTTGTTTGTTTCTCCGACACTTCAGTCTCTTGAAGGAATCCAGATCTCTGTGTGTACTCATGATCAATCGGCTAAAAAAAAAGTAACAATCAAATTACAAATTCTCACTGTTGTACAGACATAACAAAAAAGAGTCTGAAATTCAAAGCTCCATTTAACCATGATTAGACCAGAATGTCTTTTTTCACACAGCTATCTAAATTCCTAACCATTATAATTTAAAAAGAAAAAAAATGACATCCATATAGTTTTATTTCAGTAAATTGAATTCAATTGAATTAAAAGTGAATTTGCATTGGTAGTTGTCTTGAATCCAATGACTGTTAATTTCTAGTATTAACTGTGTTTATGTTACAGCATAAACTTTTAAATTGATTTTTCTACACAAAATAATCTTCCAAATGCTTTTGGTTTTATATAGTGACAAAGCACTATTGTTGGTTATTTTTTGTACTTTCCTTCACTAGGAGATAGAAGGAATGACATTTATAAAAATATTGTCTGATCTTATGTTTCCATTTTATCTATTGCCATTATTTATACCATTATAATTAGTGGGCATTTTGGTTTCACCTAGGGACATCCTAAATATATTAGTGCTCAGGCATTGAAAACACACTAGAAACAACCTTTAATATAAATTGGGAAGAGTCTGATAATCTTTTCAGACTAACAGATTTTAATGAAAGGAATAAGTTTTTTTGTGAACTAAGGTACATTTCATCAGCTGCATGGCTAAATTGATGTAAGATTTAAAGGGAGACTGATTTTTACAGGTGCAGGTACCATGATTGCAAGTACTTGTATCCTATCAATTAGCAATTATGATGGGTTAAAAACCCATTGTTTATTGCGACCATCTGATATATGTGAGTTTAATGTGGGGAGATGAAATAAAAGATTTGTGAGCAACATGGTCATAAGCTTTGTTTCAGGGTCTTGTGCTGTTACCATTTCTTATCATTTGTGAGAACCCATTTCAGGTTTGATGGTTTTCTCTAGACAAGCAAGAACTGCCACCCAGTACCTGAAAAAAAGTGTAGTGTCATTGCCCAATATGGGTCATAATGTTTTAGTGGCTTAAGTTGCAAGTTATAAGTGACAATCAGTGGGTGTTATGCTGTAGGACATTAGCACCCACACCTCTCCTAGAAAATTGAAATATCCTAGGAAATATTAAAAAGGCAGAATATTTCCTCTCAAAAGAGTAGAAACTCAGAAGCAGAAACTCACCTCAGAAGCAGCAGCTCACCCCCACCTTTGTTAATGGGTGGGCCATTAAGGCCTGGGTCAGAATACTTTACATAACAAGGAGCTCCAGGTAAAGCTGTAGCAATTGCCAAAAGCCCTTTTAAGGGCATAATCATCCAGCAAGGCTCAACCAAGCCTGGACCTCTATATGGGGGTCTGACAACTAATTAGAATACAAGCTCAAATTCAAATCCCAAGAGAGGGTATAAAACCCAGGCACTCTCAGCACCTCAGCCCTTTTTTGATCTCCTCCTTCACCTTGAAGCATGTGATCTTCCTTTTCACTCTGGAGCTCCAGGCCATGTGGTCCTGATATTAAACCTTCCAAACAGCCTCCATGTTTCCAGTGTCTTTTTCTCCACTTGGAACTGAACCCAGAAGGATATTTCTTCCAACAATTGGCAATGCATTTTGATTTTTAATAAGTCCTCCCTGGGAATTGGTTTGTCTCTACTGATTTGTCTGGTGGGAAATTTAATGTGAGTGCAAGTTATTATTTATGTAACCTGTTGTTCATATTTTTGAATGGTTGCTAAACAAGGCAGTTAGTAGATAAGGATATTTAGGTCAAGAGTGGAAAACCTGTGGTCATATGACATAATTTCATTTGTCTGTTGGACTCATTTGAAAAACCTTTGACAGTGATAAATCTGGAACCTTTGGTAAAAAGAACTGGCCCCTTCCATGCTATGGATATTATGAAGATGCCTGCCTACTGTATTTAAACTCTTTCATGTGTTTTATAACAAATATATTCTTACTTGAGATTAGACAGTTCTTTAATTAATCCATAAACAACCTCTGTTGCATCCTCCTGTTTGGATGAATCACAAATCATCTTCATTTCATCTCTGATTTTAAAAAAATACAATAGAATTAGGGCGGATCAATGGCATATCAATGATTTTTCAATAGTAAAAATGCCCTTAAATGTTAAGCAACTAACAGGCATCATAGTTTTTAAATTCATTTTTAAGTACATTTTGGAGTACATTTTAATATTAAATATGTTTTTAGCAAGTGCTTTTACCACCAAATCTTAGATATCTTATTCATAAAACTTTATGTTCCTATCCCAAAATGTCTAATATTAGGTACAAAGGAGAAGCACAAAGCTGCTAGACATTAGGATATTACACTAAATGTAGACATCTTTTGAGAATACAAATTTTAATTCTGCATTTTGCTCTTTTGCTTTTTTTTAACAGTCTAAAAGCATGAGAAAGAGTAGATTAAAAAAATGGAATGTTAGCATAAACTTTTACTCGGATACAGGTAAACATGCATACACTTGTGTGTGTGACTATACAGAAAATGCAGCCTTAATCAGATCATGTAGAATGGGAATGCAAAATAAAAACTCACATTAGGAAACCCACAAACCTGACATTATTTGCATATCTTTCACTAGAATCAGGGGGTGAGATTTTATTTTCTCCTTGTTTCCTTGTGGTATACTGATTAATTTTGTCCTTGAAACATGTCTGTAAATCATTCAGAACGCATGTCTGAAAGGAAAGAAATGGCAGAGCTACAATGGTATTCGACATAACAAAGAGTTTACTTGAAAGTGGGGTGTGTGTGTTATTTTGATTTTTCTGCTAATAACTTTTGTATAGGAATTTTAAAAAAAACCTTTTCCAGCTAGCTTTGAGATAAGCTGTTTGGGAAGGATCTGTTATGTGGCAAGGGAATAAATCTTGTTCATTTTCAATGTACTCTATTAGCAAGCTTTTCTTCTCCACTATTTCCAGAATTCCTGACACTCCTATTTCCTTTTTCTCCTGTCCTCTTTCTATTGCTTCCCCTTTATAAATGAAGAGGAGGAAGACTATAGAAAGCCAAGTAGTAGCCCTATTTCTTAATTCAGCTTATCAGAAATTGATTAAAGAGACAAAAAGACTTTTGTTTTGCACCCAAATGCCACCAAGAAAGCACGTAGTAGAACTAAGAAATGAGAGAATAAGGGAAAGATCATTTCTTCCCAAATCAATATGACATTGACTGTTAATTGTGAAGGACCTAAACACCATTAATAATAATCAAATTTTAAGGCCTCATCTGTTCTGTTAAATAACAATTAATAGCTCTTTTTTAAAAAAATTAGTGATTAATAATCAGCTTACTTTCTGTGATTGAAATTCAACGCCATGGCTTTCCAGGACGCCCTCCAATGGAGTGTTAGGCAAAGACTCCGGATCCAGAGAAAAGGAATCTGGGCAAGGAGAATATGCTTGAGCTACCATGTCAAGACCATTTGGTGCACTGATGCTGGAATCTGGCCCATATTCAGCAAAAGATCCTTGCATTTTTGAGTGCACATTAACTTCTTTATTGGGGTCACCTAACACCTGTGGTGGAAGAATTTCTTCAGAATGAAGGTTGCTTTCCACCTGGTCAAGTTTGCTCCCATTTCCTTCATGCTGAGCTGATTCTTCATCTGCTATACAGATATTGCTAGAAAAGAAGACATTTGTCCTTGGTTTTGGTTCTGCCTCGGAAACCTTCACTGTTTTCTCAACAACACGTCTGCTTGGCAATGCATTCATAATATTGTCTATAATCAAATTATTTTCTCTGAGTTCCGATTGCTGCATATTCAACATCAAATGTTCAGAACAAATTGTATTCTCTTTTTGGATTAGCAGAGTAGGAACATTTGGTTCAGTCAAGTTATAAATGCTCTCTTTTATGCAAACAGTATCCTCCAAATAAATTTTTCTCCTTTCGGGTAAAACATCCTCATTAAACTGTGGGGATATCAGACTGTCTTTTAAAATGATCTGGTCACAAATTGGTTCAGAATGACCCAGTTCCTTTTCTAAACAGGGATCAACAGGCTGAACATATGGAAAGTCTTCCCCAGAAATACCTTGGGTTTTGATGCTATTTTGCTCTGCAGGAATTGAATCTTTTCTACAAGAGTCTGTGCTTCTAATACCTTTCTCTACAGGTTTGCGATTTGTTTCGAGGTTCTGCTGATCAAAAGCTTTTTTACTCAGTTCAGATTTAGAGGCTCCAGGTGCAGTAATTTCATCATTGCTACATGTACAGTTGTCATTTTGTTCTTCAGTTTTTCCACTTTTATCTGGAAGTCCCTCTATTTCTTTGACATCGGCATTTCTCTGTTTATTTACACTAGTTGTACATGGAGAACTGTTTAATTTTCCTGATGTAGGAATTAATATATCTGTAATAACTGGGAGTTGAGTCACATTGGTTGCCTTTTGTGTTTGGCTATCTATGCACTCGGAATGACGTGAATCTTTCCCATTTCCATTATTCATCCAGCTAGGGTCATGTGTTTCATCTGCTTTCAAGATAATCTGCATCGATTTATCTTGCTGCACATTTGTGCCTGAACTATCCAGACGCTCTTCTTCATTTTGGCCACTTTTAATGTGGTCAATACTCTTATCTTCTGGCAACATGCTTACATTCACCTGCTTCGCCAGTTGGTACTTAAGTGGCTCTATAGGGAGAGCTTTCTTTTCAGAATCATTCACATCGTTATTACTTGATACACATGGAGAAAAAGAAACTTGCTTTTGTGATATTTCTTCTTTGTAGCTGCTTGCTTGTGAATTTGCTTCAATTCCTGCTTCTTGCTGAGAATCTGATAATCCTATTGTAACATCATTATTGTTTATTTTTTTAATCTCATATTTATCTTGTATTTTTATATCTAGTCTTTCATTTATTCCATCACAATGAAGGATTATTTGATCTCTAGCATTCTCCATTTTTGTCAGTGATGATTCTGCAGATGTAACTGGATTATGGACAGTATTTGCTGTTCTAGATACATTTTTATCCACATGTTGATCCTTTCAAAAGGCAAAAAAAGATGAGTAGATAAAAAAGCAGTGCAAATATTTAGCATTTTCTGAATATTTTTTCTCTCACCTCATAAAAATAAATTTTTAATTATCCAGTATTTATATTTTGATCCTTGTTACCACTTTCAAGTTCTCTTCTATTATCAATGAATATAAATAAGTTCACCACATAGCTATAAAAACACTGTAGCTAAGTCTTTAAAATATTTTTGGATTAATTTTTCTTGTATTCCTATTCATTTGTTGTATGCATTCTCCTTATTTTGTGACCTGCCCAGAGTCAAAGTTGGGAATCATCAAAATTAAAGGCCTTTGAATAAAAATATTTCAATGCCATGTTCAACATGAACAAGAAAATGCTTAGCTTCAGAAATGCATCTATAAAGCTTCACTACTGCACAAATAAATAATTGTAAATAGCAGCAAAAATATAATAGTTGTATTTCACTACTTTTGAAATATTTCTTTTTCATGTAACCACAACCACTTTTTTATGGTGGCAAATATCATATTATATTGTAAATAAGCAGAAAGTTTGTTGTGAATACCAGCTCATACCTCTTTGGTACAAATTGCTGTAGTTTCCTCAAAACACTTTTCTTGTCTTTTAATCAATGATTTCTTTGACTTAGTAAATGTTGGTATGAGCTTCCTATTCTATAATAAAAAAATGAGAGTCATATTCACTTCCTCAACAACTTTTAAAATTACTCAATTTGGCTCAGTAAAACTATTCCATATGCATGAAGATTTTGCTTAGTGGTTAAGCTAGAAAAATACACTATGGAAAAGCCATAACGGTTCTGTAATTAGTTGGTTCTGTAATTCAGCACAATGTTTTTCTGTCAGCAAAATAAACAGTTTTTACTTTCCCTTCCTTCTTCCTAAACCTCAGTGGTTCAGTTTCCCTGTTATTGTTCTCCTCCATGCTTACCATCCAGAGCAGCGGTCGTCAACCGGTGGGCTGCGAGAAAATTTTGGTGGTCCTCAGAGAAATCTCACCCCCAGAGCACCTCCCAAAGCAATTAATCCATGCTGTGCAGAAACACAAGGCTGCGCCGCCCACATGGCCTGCAGGAACCCTCCCCGCCCACACACTCCTTACCTGGCAAACTTGCCTGCTAAGTTGCTATTTTTCCTTTTTTTTTCTTTCCAACCATCAGCTGTTCTGCTGTGCCGGGAGATTTAGATTAGCTAGAAAGCAGGAAATGGTTGCATTTCTTGCGTTCTCACTAATCTTTAGATCTTCAGCTCTGATTTTAAGCACAGCCGAACCTCCCTTAGGACTGAAAGTTCTATTATTCAGTGCAGACTTGGCAAGCAAATTTTATGTGACAGACTGAGCTAGCCAATGGCAGAAAGATAGATCACTGAATGATTATGTGAGCAACTCAATCTGCCTGCCTGCTTTGCCTGATTTTGGGTAAAAGTTGCTCTTTTTTAAAATAAAAAGGTCAATGTTTACATACATGGTGTGTTGTGAGTTAATTTTGTTGAGTTTTCCTGCAAGCAAATTTTATGTGACAGACTGAGCTAACTAATGGCAGATAGATCTCTGAATGAATCTGTGATCCTGTGAGCAACTCAATCTGCCTGCCTGCTTTGCCTGATTTTGGTAAAAGTTGCTCTTTTTTATAAAAAAAATCAATATTTATATAAATATTTATAACATTTACATACAAGCCATGGCCAGCCAGTCACATGACCATCAAGCCATACCCACAAATTAGGCCATGCCCACAGAACTGGTTAGTTGTCCCTGGTATTTAAAATTATGAGTTTGGTGGTCCTGAGGTCCAAAAGGTTGGCAACCCCTGATCCAGAGCACATTTCCAGAGTACACAGAAATTAAAAATTAAGTTAATATTAAGATTATTGTAACATTAACATTACATGTCTTAACATGTAAGACAACCAGCCCCAACAACTCCACATTTCACCCAAATACCTTTAACTACCTTCCAAAACGCTATTAGTAGAATCAACCTCACTTCTATAGGGAGACCATTTCAGAAGACTAGGGCAAAGAGAAGCACCTGAAGTTTGGACCTCAAGTTCCCAGGAATGGGGCATTATCAACAAATTATTCTGGTAGAGATGCCTCAGATGGACAAATCCAATTAAAGGAGGTGATTTGTGAGGTATCCAAAAGCAGCACTTTGAATTATACCTAGAAAGCTACAATTAAAATACCAAGCCTAGGCTTCTTCGGAACTGGTATCCTATGGTTATATCATTGACCACTGGACAATACGTAGGCCACTGCATTCTAGTCCAATAGCAGCTTCTTAAGAGGCAGCCCATTTAGAGAGTGGTGCAGTAAAAGTGATGTGCAGTGATGAGGGCATAAGTCACTGTAGCAAGATCTTCCTGCTCAAGAAGGTCTGCAACTGGCATATTAGTTGGACCTGGACAAAAAGGCTCATGGCAATGGCCTCCATCTGCTCTTCCAAGGGTAGTTATGAGTCCAGCAGTGCTATTCCCTCAAGAGATACCCCCAGTCTAAATAGAATATATGTGAAGTTCAAGTATTTGATAAAGATTTGAGAGGCAACGTTCTCTAGCAACAGATGTCATCTTAATTAGAAAACCACAACTAGAAATTACAATAAAATTCTGAGCTAGTAGGAAGAAGACGGTGAGGGTTAGTAAAGGTGGAGTGCAGAGCAGCCAAAAGTACAAAAATGAGGGGAGATAGGTGGAAGAGTTGAAGTAAGTGCTATAAATGTTGGCAGCCAAATATTGTCATTGGTGGGCTGCCAAGTGCCTAAACATTTATAACTGGACCGTGGAAGTGGTGGAGGCACTGCAAGGGCCATAATCTCAATGACTGGTTGTAACTACTAATTCCATTATCATTTTAAATGATCACTGAACAACTGGTAGTTAAGGGAAGATTATCTGCAAACTTTGGAAGGCAGAAACCTCCAAGAAAAAAGACAATATAAACTGCAATTACATTGTGAAATATATACTGTCATTTTTGCATTGAAATTGGAATATACTTACTTGTGAAGAAGGTATTGCAACCTTAGTGTAATCTAGCTCCTTCCTTTCAGAATAATCCTTAAGTAATTTGGCAGAGCTGGAAAAAAATGAATTCTGATTTAGAAACAACAAATTACTAATTTAAATCTACCCAAAAGAAGGATCCTGCAATAGGAAAAGATGGTTTTCACCTTCCTATAAATGAACTTTGTTCTCTGCAATTGAAGTGAAGCAAGAAGCACACATCTCGTCCTTCTATATTCGCATTCTATTTTATTATAAGTGTATGTTACAGTCACACAGATTCATTTTCCCCTTGATTGAAGAGCATTTGCATTGTATATTTGTTCAAAGAGAAAGAAACTTGAATTATCATTAATAGAAAATGGCATTCCCCTTTTGCACGTTTTTAGTTGCCAATTGTCCCAAGCTGCATGCATCAATTAATATCCAGTCTCCCACAGTCTAAAGCTTCCCTCATTTTCCATTCTTTGGTTAAATCCCAAGGAAGAAAATTGTGACATTGGATTTCCTTCCATTGGACTTTTTCACCAAAAAACAGTGTCTCATTTTAAGGAATTATTGTAGAGTACCTCCTCCTTCCACTACAGAAAATTATCTATTCAGTTTCGTTCTCCATAAAATTGTTAAGGAATAAGCCATTTGTGTCAGGTTCAGTTTAAAACCTAGTACACCACTTTGTGATATTTTAATGGTTTCTCCCAAATTTTCTCTACTGAGAAAAAAATCTAGTTGAAAACTTGATTGTGCTGCTGCAATATAACAAACTTAAGAGTTGTGAGTTTATTATCTCCATTATTGGTTTGCATTTCTAGTATGTGTGTGCAATAAATTATTTTGTCTTTCATATACTCAGAGAACCAATTATTTATAAAGAATTACAAGCATTTATATGAGAGTGTCAATTAACTCTTTATGTACTTTATGAAAGCAGTTGTTCTACCATTTTTTCAAGCTACAGTGATATTTAAATTAAAATGAGATTCTGATCAACTGGGTATTCAAATTAATGGCATCTGGTGAGCATATTTAAAGTGGCTTGCATTAAAAAACAAAACAAAAAAAGAGCTATGAGGAAATAATGCATACAGTACATTGAAGAGGGAAATGGAAAATATCAGATAAATTGTGCACAGGATATGGTGTATTAAAGTTATGTGGGACTAGAAAGGGATATGAGGCTTACCAGTATTGGATTAAACAATTAGGATACAAATGGGAAGGAAGCCAATCGTATATATTGTTCTGGCTAGCAAAGAAATGTGTACTACAATTATTTCATTTCCTGGGAACAGGCATTTAGATAATCATGGCTTTGGACATCTCTACTATTTGAAGGTTGAGAGAATTAGGAGGATTTTACCAGCACTTGGAATCCCTCTTCAAGTCTTCAACCAGCCCCAATATTGTTGGGACATCTAGCTTTGGGACCATTACAATTTATATAATTTTCTCAACAGCTAATGCTACTATTCAGTACTAATACTGGGTGAGAACTTATTAAAGCATGTTTTACCATCAAGACAAGATTGCAGCATGGGAAAGAGGAAAACATGACAAGAATGAATTCTGGCATGTAGACATCGCTTAAACCAACCAAGTAACAAAAACTAGATGATCTCATGGAATAAAAAAGGTGGCTGAAGAAGATAATGTTAAGTAATGACAACCATCAGCATTAGTGTTATTAGTAAGCCAGGTGACTCCAGACAAAAATGGGGTGTTGAATTGGGACTCACAAGATAAAAGTGTACTGGACCATCTCACCAATAACACGAGAAACTAAATTCCCTGCGCCTCTAACAGTTTCCTTTTCTTGAAGCAACTACAGCAAGTTTAGTTGCAGCATGTACCCCAAAAAGTTGTCAGGAAGAGGTTTATAAAAATAAAACTATGGATGACAAGTCTAGGCAAAGCTTACTGATAGTGCAGACTGCTTTGTAAATTGTTGATTATTTAACAGAAATAAAAGTGAAAATGATTCACTGAAAGACCCCCTTGATGTATTTACTCAGTCCTGTCATAATAAATTAACTCTATGATTCTACTGGGGAGGAAAAAAATCTAGTTTAAAACCTCACTGTGCTGTTCCAATATAATGAATGTAACAGTTATGAGATTATCATCTCCATTATTGATTTGTATTTTTGTTATGTATGCGTATATGATAAATTATTTCTGCTTCTGTTTACTGGAGTAGAAACCTCTGGATCTAAAAATGATCAAGCTGCTGTAACTCAAAGTAAAGACTCAGTAAATTGAATGTACTGTGAAAAGGGAACAACATCCCCCCTACCCCGCAATCCTGTTCTTTTACTTTTGAGACACAGAAGGGTTGAAAATCAAACTCAAAACAACTGTACATTGCAAACTAACCAGATTTACCTACAAATCACGCTTAATAGACTCAATAGCAGACAGTGAGGTTCAAAGAAAGCAATGTTCATTCCCTAAGTTGGTTACTTCAATGTCATTACTATGCAACTGACATATATTTGGTGGAGTGCAGTGATGGTATTCAGCAGGTTCTGACCAGTTCTGGAGAACCGGTAGTGGAAATTTTGAGTACTTTGGAGAACCGGCATTTACCACCTCTGAATAGCCCCACCCCCATCTCTTCTCTGCCTCCTGAGTCCCAGCTGATCGACTGGGTCTTCTTTTGTTGTCCTGCACAGGAGAACGGAGCTGGAAAGCAAGTTAGTGGGTTGGGAAGGGAATGGGGATTTTGTAGTAACCTTCCCCCAGGAGTGGGGAGGGAACGGAGATTTTACAGTATCCTTCCCCTGCCACGCTCACCACGCCCCGCTCGCTACACCACGCCACGCATGCCACGCCATGCCCCCAAGCCATGCCCCCAGAACTGGTAGTAAAACTTTTTGAATCCCACCATTGGTGGAGTGGCTTCCTAATAAGATGGGCTGTAAGTGAAATGAGAACCAAAGAGTGGTTCTCTTGCAAAGATAACAAACCAGCTCTGTCTTCTGGAGACGCTTATTCAGATAAGCAAGTTCAGGCAGAAAGAGGAGGATAGATTGCAGTTTAATTTATAGACGCATAATTACTTGACACCTTTGCAGCCTTGTCAAGCAGTGAAGAGGAAGGTTTACTAAAGAAGTCAGAGAAGTGGTTCTCAATCTTTTATTTACCATGGACCCCCTATTAAATATCTTTTAATGGCTTTCAGAAGTTTTGCTCTGCAGTTTATCCAGATGTGAGACACTGTGGCTTAAGATGGGCCCCAGGTGATAGTTTGATTTGTGCTGCTCTACCAGCTTCCCTGGCTGGGCTGTTGCTGAATTGGCTGGCTGTAGAGTACCCAAAGCCAGCAACTCCTAAACTTTTCTTCATCACAGACCCCCTTTAACTACCATTTGTGACCACAGACCATGGCCATGGAACCCCAAAACTTAACTCAAGATTTAAATCATAACATTTTGTGATGACATTGCACACACACACCCCAAGGATCTGCAGACCATAGGCTGAGAGCCAGTGAGTTAGAGGTTCTTATGCAAACTTTAAGCACAGTGTATAAGATGGCTGCCCCACTAAATGACTTGGTCTTTGTGCCCTATATAGAAGGCTGTGAAAGCAGTACTAATTAGTTCTTCTCTAACAATCCTCAAAGATAGGGAATTTGATAGACAACCAGTTTCAGTCACTGAAGATTCAAATACACCACCAGGAGATGCAAATTCAGTCCTATATATTACAGAGGTTGCAGAACAGCATTTACTGGACTCTTAGTTCTATTAAAGGACACTTGGATATCTGATGTTGGCTGTTCCAGTGCCACAGCTGACAGTAGAGAAACTACTGGATATAACCTGCCCACCAGTATTTCCCAGGCAGTGTCTACAGCAATAAGTTTGCCTGCCCAAACTGAACGAAGGATATTTAATTATTATTCCCTATCCTTCATTTTTTTAGAACATTGCAAGGTGGAAATCCAGAAGCAGAGTTCCATAATTTCTGGTCCATATATCTCCAGCTACATCTCCCCCCACCCAAAAAAAACCCATATTTTTTACTCTCTTGCCATACTAACAGTGACTGGTGACAATTTTGTGATAAATGGACATTTCAACAGCCAGGAACAATCGTTACCTTTGTTAGAGTGGAATATATTATTATAGGGGAATACTGTTATTCAGTAATAATGGATAAAAAAGGAGGTGAACCACAAGGCTGGGAGCAGTGTTATCTGAGAGTTTAAACTAGAAGTAACAGAACAGAATAACAGAGTTGGAAGGGACCTTGGAGGTCTTCTAGTCCAACCCCCTGCTCAAGCAGGAGACCATCTCTGACAAATTGTTATCCAGTCTCTTCCTAAAAACCTCCAGTGATGAAGCACCCACAACTTCTGAAGGCAAGCCATTACACTGGTTGACAGTTCTCACTGTCAGGAAATTTCTCCTTAGTTCTAGATTGCTTCTCTACTTGGTTAGTTTCCATCCATTGTTTCTTGTCTTGCCTTTTGGTGTTTTGGAAAATAAATTGACCCCCTGGGCCTGACCCTCAAATATTGGAACACTGCTATCATCTCACTAGACTAAACAAACCCAATTTCTGCAACTGTTCTTCATATGCTTCAGCCTCCAGCCCCCTAATCATCTTTGCTACTTTTCTCTGCAGGCTTCCCAGAGTCTCAACATCTTTTTTATATTGTGGAGACCAAAACTGGATGCAGTACTCCAAGTGTGGTTTGCTAAGGCATTGTAAAGCAGTACTAATTCTTCCCGTGATCTTGATTCTATTCCTCTATTAATGCAGCCTAGGATTGCATTAGTTTTTTGGGTGGCTGCCTCAACATGATGGAAACGTCCACTACAAAACACACGTCCAATGCTACCGCGTTCGGGGGAACCGACGGGCGCAGGAGACCATTGGCCTGCGCCAAAAATCAACGAAATGGTCCACGCGGAAAGCACGGCCGTGTGAAAAAACGCAAGCGGGGAACAGAGGACTGCCAGACGCTCAAGGTGGCCACCTGGAACGTGGATTCGCTGACTGGACGCTCGACCGAGATCGTCAGGGCCATGCGGGACAGGAAGCTGGACATCTGCTGCCTCCAGG